GCCTCCACCTTTATGTCTGACGGCCTCCACCTTTATCTTTCAGGATAGAGCTTACACCCGATTTTACTTCTCTATAATCGACCTCAGCTGAGTTAGGAAGAGATGGTAAGGTGACCTTTCTCTTAAGTATAACCTGACCTCCACCCAAACCTCCACCTCAACCTAAACCTCCACCTAACCTCCACCCACATCTCCACCTGACCTCCACCCAAACCTCCACCTAACCTGCACCTAAACCTCCACCTCAACCCAAACCTCCACCCTAACCTCCACTTAAACCTAAACCTCCACCCAAACCTCCACCCAAACCTCCACCCAAACCTCCACCTGACCTCCACCTAAACCTAAACCTCCACCCAAACGTCCACCTGACCTCCCGCCAAACCTAAACTCCACCAAAACCTCCACCTAAACCTAAACTTCCACCCAAACCTCAATCCAAACCCAAACCTCCACCTGACCTCCACCCAAACCTCCACCTCCTGACAAACCAATCAAAACGCTCGTATTCAACAACACTTATACAAATTCAGATTTTTTTCAATAGAAATAAAATATTTGATTCAATATTTATTATTAGCCTGGACCCTCCCATAAAACCAGGCCCCTCCCACCTTCGCCACACAAGTTAACGCCCAGTTGAAATTGATTTGGATCGATTAAGTCGAGCGGAATCGAACACTTGATTCTGATCAGGTTGATGACGTTGATTAATAATCAATAAAAATCATATTTCACTGATTGAGTTCAACTTCAGTGACTTTAACTGTTGAACGTGGATTCAGCTGAAAGAAACTTCGGTTCTGAGAAAGAACTTCTGAAAAGATTGAAGTGGTCCAGTGTCACCAGCCGTTACTCCACCGCTGCGTCTCTCGCTCCAGATGGTGAGCGCACTTTATCCTCCCGTCCACAGTGAGGAGGAGACGTGGAGACGAGTGTACAGGAAGTACAGAAACAATAAATACTTTACTACTCAGTTCTCATGTTGATTTTAAAATATAAATACAACTAATGGAGAAATTAAACGTCAGAGCGTCGTCAAGGAAACGTTACCGATGTTCGTCCTCCGTCAGTTTCAATGTTTCATCTGTGTGTTTGGTAGTTTTTATTTTTTTTAAAGGTAAAACAGTGTGTGTCCCCTGCTGCTTGTACCCCGGTGCCCTCTTCAGGACAAACACAGTCATCACAGTAGCAGTTTTACACATCACATCTTTAGAGATTCATTATTTAAAAAGCACAAAACCTTCAAAATCTAAATTATTCACATTTTTGGGGATTTTATTCAAATACTTTTTGCTTATTTTTGTGTTTTTTCTTTATGGTTTATTTATTTTTGTGTTTTTTCTTTATGGTTTTGTTATTTTCATTGTTGTTGCTTCTTTTGAAACTTGAGTGGATTTGTTTATTCATTTTTAGAATGTGTAAAGTTCAAATCTGTTCAGTAATATTTGCTCGTGTCACTGATCTGTTCACGTTGAAACAGCTTCAGATTCATGATTTTTCACTTTTGTTCCGAGAAGTTCACGACATCAGCAGGTTCCTTCCTCCGACTTTTCGTTCAATGTTGCGTCTGCGTCACGTGTCCAGCCGCTCCGCTGCTAACCCTGCATGCTGCCGCTAACACCACAGCTAACGGTGAGTCGCTAACATCTGGAACATGTCTGGAACAAATGATGCTCGACATCGCCCCCAACTGACTGTCATTAGTAATAGTAACAACAATGTTTACTCAGTTAAGTTAAGTTAAGAATAATTTAAACTTTCCACGTCGACACTTTTCATTTTTATTCTGTAACAAGTGGTAGAAGAATTCAAATGATAAATGTTTGAGATTAAATTGTAAAATAAATTAAAAGATGTTGTTGACGTCTTTTCTTTTTTATTCACCAAACAATTATTCAATGAGCAGTTGATTGCATTTATTTTATTTTGTAGGAGACGGATTCAGAGTGAAAATGAACAGATTAATGTTTGTTTCTGTTTCAACCAGAGAAATAATTCATGTCATATTTGATCCATTTATATTTATTTGATCTCTTCTTGTCAGAGCTCCTGAATAATGATCCACACGAGACGTCACAAGCTTCGTCTGTCTGACGCAGCTGATCTGTGAGGAAGAGGAGGAGGAGGAGGAGGAGGAGGAGGAGGAGGAGGAGGAGGAGGAGGAGTGAAGTTCTCAGAAAATGAAAAGTCTGCTCGTTTTTATCTTGGTTCATTTGCTTTGTTTCCTCTGAGGCTCCAGAGTTTAAACAGAAAACATCTTTAGCCTCAGAAATCTGATCTTTTTTTAACTTTCTCTTTTGTGTAAAATGATTTTTCATTCAAATCCTGAAAACTAAGAGTTGTGTTAACAGAAACGTGTGTGTGTGTGTGTGTAGTTGTGTTAAAGGAGAACAAGGATCGTGTGGTGATTTTTAAACTATTAAACTGTTGTGCAGAGTTCAAACTCTGTGTTTGACTGAGTTTGATTTCAACATGAAATAAAGTTCAAATCTGCACGTGTCTGTCGTCATGTTTGTTTTTGAGAATTCAGTAAATTCTGGATTATTAAATTATTATTATTACTTTCAACTTAAAGAAGTTTAATTTGCTTTAGTTTGAATTCAGTTGAAGATCCAGACTCACTGGAGAACTGACATGAAACCTGTTCTGTGGATCTTCAGGATGATTCATTTAATATAGAGTTCCTCAGAATGTCCGACGCTGCAGCTCCTCTCGTCAGCCTCCGTCTCAAACTCTTGGTTTTAGCTCCTGTCCCTTTAAGACCCGCCTCCTGATGAAGACCAGCTCTGATTGGTCAGCTGCTTCACTCTCTGTTGTGATTGGCCAACCGTCGCTCTCACTCCCCTTTGTTAGGGGGCGTGTCCGCTCAGCGTAATTTCTTCAAATGTAACGATGATGCAGAAGTTTGGATTTGAGCCTTTTGTTGTTGTTTAAATTTCCATATTTTTTAATTTTTGAAGTTTAAAGTTTCATATTTGTTCTCTTTTCATTTTTCGGGTTGTTTTTGTTCATTTGGCTTCGAAACTTAAACAACGACAACGTTCACAAAAACCAGGAAGTAGAAAACCTTCAGATCTTCTGTGTCGTCCGACACGACGTCCAGCGGCCGTTAGTCTGAACGCCACCATGTTCATGTGTGTGTGTGTGTGTGGACTCATTTCCCAGGGTGCAACAGGAGCAGCTGGCGGCCATCTTCCTGCTGCTGAGGGAGAACCAGGAGGCGCTCGGGGAGGTGACGGAGGGAGACATGGAGGAGCAGCTGAAGCTCTACTCGCTCTGAGGCGCCGTCCATCACTGTTACCATAGCAACACAAACCTCCACACGACCCCAACGTGAAATGTCGAAGATGAAACTCGAGACTTCGGTTTATTACCTGATTATTTGTATTTATTCGATCTGAAGCTGTGAAGAAATGAAAGTTTCGTGTGTGGAGTAAAAATGTGAAGCAGCAGAACATGTAAATACTCACATGAAGTACTAGTACCTCAGGATTAGTTTTTCTTTATTTGGGTTTTTTAAAAGTTTGTAGTTTTTGATCTCTTTTTAAAAGTTTGAATTGACTTTATTTAAAACGTCTTTATGCTAAGCTAAGCTAAGAGGAAAGGATTCTTTTACTTCCTGATATCAAAATAAATCTGCTGTGACTCCTGTAGCTACACTGTAAAAGAATCTCAGTTTTATATATATATACATGTATGTATATATATATATATTTAATCATCGGACTGAACTCGATGACACGACGTCTGTTTTACAGCTTGTTTATCTTTAAAGCAATGACATAAACAAACAAACAACAAAAACATGTCCCAAGTTTATGTTTCACAAAATAAAAGCTCGACCTTTTCTGTCGACTGAATCATATAAAATAGAACCTGATGTCAAATCTTAATAATTCATCTTCATTCAAACTTTTCTCTGCACTGAATTCATTCTCATAATGTGACTTGAAAAACATTTATACCACAACAAGGAATGAAGATAAGCATAAGAGATAAAGAGCTATTCATTTTGTTATCTCCGTGAACCACAACACAGATAAGCCTTTCTGACATGCAAGCACACA